TTCCAGAATTTTGGATCCCATTTCATATTGTTTCTTAGCTTTCGATAAATTTTTTGATAGGCCTGGAGACTCCTGTCAGTCACGCTTTCAGGTTATGAATAATCATGGAATATTGCTCATCAGTTGCATATAAACGAAAATTAATAAGGTTATTAACGGTTTAGTATATTAAACCTGTTTTGGCAACAAATCAGAGTCCAAAGTAGTAGTAGCTGTGTTAAAATTTGGGGCAACGACGTAGGATAGTAATACTTATAAAAATAGGGTGGGTAGCTGTGTCTTGCTGGATAATAGCTAACGAGGAAATTTGTATTTAAAGGGGACTCCATATTCACGAACGGTTCATCTCACTGTTCGATGGAGGATCGTGAATATAAGTCGGGATCAACGAAAGGGATTTAAGAATATTCACACATCGAAGTTCACCCAACCCCGCCTCTCTGAATGGGAGCAAGGCTTTGCATTTCAAAGATCGGGGATCTTGTGATATTGTGATATTGCATCACTGGAGAACGCTGTGATCAAGCGAACAGGCAAAATGTGAGCGAATGAAGCAGCGTAACCACTCAGGTAGACTTAAAAATAACCACTATGTGGAGTCCAAGCCCGGAGATACACAGTTTAGAAACATCAAAAAACCTAGGGATTATTAGATAACAGATAAATGTTTAGTTAACCCTAACGATAGATGTGATGTCCAAAAACCCATCAAAATTAGAAAATATGATCCTCAAAAAAGCAGAAAATTAAGCGGACTCCTGCTGCCATCGATAACCATAAGAAAGGAAAATAGAACAGAAATATTCGCTTTCATGTATCTCACATAGTCATTATAGATCGTCCCGGGCCATGGTGTTCTCGTATAATATTATTATCCGACTTTGAAGGCTTCTTTTTGGTTTCAAAATCCAATCATGACATTCCTTATCGTACATCTGGGGCAAATCCGTTTCACGGTTGCCCAGATTGACGCCATTGATGCAATTTGTGCCGATTGACGCCCAACGTTGAACAAATTGCTCGCTCCTATTTCTTACTCAGAGGTCATAGAGAGGCGGAATTTCAATTTTGTCTGCGTTACGATGGCGAACTTGAATTAACCTGTTTAACTTTTCTCCTTCTAAACAACGAGTAAAATTTCTCCATGTACTTTACCAACAGTGGTTGGAGAGTTTCGGTTATCAAGTAAGAGCGATCATAAATGACCCAAGCCAGTATCACTGCTGCGGTTACCGGAAGCGATATCGCCCAGTAAATCCAGAATTTATGTGACATGGCAAATGTTTGTTTCCCCGTATTTTCATCAACGGAGAAATTAAAGAAGTTCATACCAAACAGTGTCTGTAGTATTCAATGTTAAACGGTTGAACATAACCAAACATAGGTACCGGTGGGACTTACTGATATGAATGTTCCAGGGAGGAAAACCAAGCCTACCGCGGATATGATTTTCATTGCGGCTGTGTCAGTTTGTGAGACGAGGTTGAATCCCTGCGTAGAGATGAATTGAAATTAGTAATTATCACCACTGCAACGGCCCGGCAAAGGAAATTCGAACCAGGTTAATTTCATTCTGTAGTCGATCATATAGCGATGCGGATCGTGCTTTAATAGCACGAATTTCCCTGGAATGATAGTACAATCGTCGTGTAACATCCTCTGCATTTATTTTTTGTATTTGGTGAGAGCCAGTACTTCCTTCACGTGAGATAAGTAGCTCATGTTCGTGAAGAATGCTGTCAATTGTCTCTATTGCGACGTCAAGAGTCTCATTTGAGTGGATCACATGTCTTGCAATATCGTGCAGTTTTGGGAAATCGGGCCCCATGGGTTGATACACATCTCGAAACTGCATGACATTAGTTTAAAAAGGAAAATGATGAAGATAAAAGAAAATAAAAGCAAAATATTAACTAGCACCTTTTCAGCTTCACGGACTAGATATCTGAGTTTCCAAACACAATCATCGTAGCACTCCCTAAGTTCGTCTAAAAAAACAGCATGCCAAGTATACGGGTCACTTGGGTCGATGCCAGAAATGCGACGGTTCAATGCCTCTTGCAACGTTTCAGAGAGGTCTGAACAAAGGATAAACGTATTTTGTTCTTTCGGTCTCCATCTGATGAACATCGTCATTTGATGCCACACATATTCATTCTTGCTAATTGCTTCTTTAAGCTTGAAACAAGACCATGTATCTACCGATAGTTAACATGTGGTTTGAGCGAATGAGTGGGATTGCTTCGGGTCACAGTTCTTACCGAGACTTGCAAGTGTTCCATCATCATGACGGTTGTATATGGCATTTGAGCATCCGTTTAAGTCCTTCGTGGAAGTGACCCAAAACTGAAGAGGAATTGGAAGCCCTGCGATAATGGCTGGGTTCTCGTTTACCCATCGGTTGCATCTTTCTGTTTACCGGCAAAACTACAGTACTTAATTGTATTAGCGAGATCGGAAGTGAAAATTGGTTGACAGGCAGACGAAGCCGATACTGACGCGATACGAACAGAATTGAGGGGCTGCTGTTTTCGGCGAAGTTAGTGAGTTGCAGGAGAAAAGCCGCTGCGTAAGTTAGTTATGTGGCTGCGAAGAAAGCCGAACTTACCTGGCGCAATTCTACCTCCAACATCGACCTCCGCTTTGATAGAGCATCGCCAACTGTTCTTCAAGTTGATATCTGCGACAAGCAGTGAGAGACCAGCTTCTCACTCTTTTCAGTGATATCCACGATCATCTTTTCGGTCGTCTCTTCCTCGATATTAGCTCCAACACCGTCAGTACTTTCGAATTTGCTCCCATATCAAGTCAACAACTTTCTCCCCCGAAGGCGGGTTTCATTCGAGAAACAAAAATGGAAGTCGAGCAGTGGCAGCTCCCACAGCCTTGCCACGAAGTCGTCCATGGCGCTAGACTCGCCCGCGGATTAATATCAGTGGGATGAATGCTCTTGGCTTGCATGCATGTGCCATCACAGCCAGGGACGCAGCAAGGGTTTACCATCGTTATTGGACACTCAACATGTTGAACGGCAGCCTTGATGTGCTGTAACTCCTCCAGGCGAACATCCTGCTGGGCGCGAGACATCTCATATTTCAGGTGTTCTCGTCTGAGTATCTCATGCAAATTGCGCCCTGTCTTGAGTTAAAGCATGGCTTAACACGGGGCACATGATATGACAGAGACGTGCAGTATATTTCTTGAGAGTTAGGTTGATGGGCTTAGAAGTTAGGAGAGGAGCAGGTCAATATTATGGCCAAGAGAACCATCTCAACCGTTGAAGGGATTGGATTGTCTCCTCTACTACCAGTATGGCGCCGGTAGTGGGAGATTGCCCAGTGGCCTAACATCGAAACAGTACTATAAACACCACATCATTATTTGCCAATATCTTCCAAATTTTTCTTTGAATCGAAATGGATATTCCATATCGTTGGATCATACCTAGTTGCTTCATTTTACCAGCATCCCTAGTTCATAACTTAGTGGCCGGTGATCCAACCACTGTCAGCGTGTGTTTGTTCCACCTTTCAAGAAGGCGATGATGACAACGTCAAAAGAAAAAGAGGATTCCAACAATCTTTATTTCACATTCACAGATTAATCAAGAAACAGTTGTTTATTCTCGCATTAAAAAACCTATCTTTTAATTATATTTTTGGAGGCGCTCTCGGCCTTTCTCTGACAGTGATTTTAATCTTTGAATAATCAGTATGTATGTGCTGCGTTCTTTTCCATTCCGCAGTGAGCGAGTCCTAGTTCTAAATCTAGACTCAGCTAGCATTCCCCTCTGGCTTTATCGTCTTTTTTTCTCTTGATTGTTGGGAATTGTTTGGATGTGAGCTAACTATACGGGGTAGATTCAGGGGACATATATCTTTTGAATACTGGGGGCCTTGATGCAGATCATCAGCAACCCAGTTTTTCGTCTCATAGAGCAAGCCAAGCCACCAAGAAAGATTCAAACTTGAAGCAACTTGATCACCAGATACTCTGAGAACAAATTTTCTTCCCTGCCCTAGGACCGTGCTTCTGGAATGGATTTGTAGGTTTTAGAAATCGTCAGCAGAATATCTCACATCATCTTCTGAGTACAGCATCTGGTGGATCTCAGCCTAAGAGGAATAAACATGTGCAAATTCTTTATCTAGATACGGCGCCTGTGGCTTTTTTATTTTATTTTATTTTATTTTATTTTATTTTTTTAAAAAAAGCTTATGACTTTTTCATAACTCTTTAACCCAAAAGCCGCATCTTCTGCAGAACGGCCCTTGATGGCAGGTCAGGTTCGAGAACTGAACACTGATGACAGAATACGACACAAAATTTTCCCAAAATTGTCAGGGCTATGTTGAAATCGAAGGTCTACACCATGTATGTTTTACGAGGGCTACTATCCCGATATCCCGTCCGATGGAACTGAGCCCGATAAGTCATCCTTATTTCTGACTGGTGCTACATCATATCTTGTTGAAGCCCTTGCCTGTCACCCTGCTATTATATCTCCAAGTTATGTTATCTTTCATGGACCTTCAAGGGTTGGATCAGTTCGTCGAGGGCTGAAATTGGTTGCTCCAGGGTCTCCAGGTTTTGCCCGTTGGTAATAATAGCTAGCACAGGCCTAATTCTCCTACCTGCAAGGACTCCAATCCAAAAATATCAACCTATACAAGCAAGGCCAGAGTCCATCCTAGCGGGAATGGAACGGCAGAGCAGAACTACGGAACAGGCCGGACCTGGCGTATGCCTCCCAGAAATAACGACATACGAATAGGAGAGATTCGGAAGCCTTGGTTTGTTCTCCATCGTATTTAGGTTACATCCCCGGGTCGGCGCCTGAGATCATTACCATCACCTGCCTCCCACAGTTGCACGGCTAGCAAAAATGAAGAGGAATAAAATCCATATCTAGCAAAATTATTTGCATTCATCCCCTCCTTCTTCCGCTAGGAAGTATGTTGTCAAAACAGATGCAGTCGCTTCCTTAATCGCTTGTCAGAGACGTGGATGACCCATCAAATACAATGCGGGCCTCTTCAAGTTGCGTCTCTGGAACAACAGCAAGGCTATCAACCCGTACATCAAATGGCAAATTTCGTCCGTCTCAGAAAAACCATGTGGGGTTAACATGGCTGTCGATGTCCAAGAAGCTGCTGAATGGGCGCACAGTGGTGGGATGGGCATCACTGCCCATTCCACCGACGGGGAAGGGGTTGTTAAATATGCATGATGATTGGGCATAATGACGTTGAGGGGGCATAGATACGTATAAGGGGTCTGTGCCTTCATTCATTTCTATGTTTTATCTGGAGGCTTATTTAAGAGGTTTTTAGAAGGGAGTATAATATTTCCTGTATGCAAAATAGGTATTCAGCGGTCTCTGGCGACCTCTCTTTTCTTGCCTTCAAGAAATATTCTGTTCTGTTGTTCATCCGTTTTACCCGCAGTGGTCATAGAAAATCCATATAGCGGATGTGGATGCATATCTGTCATTTAAGTATTCGTGCTCGTATTCTCACTCTTCTTCTTCGAGAGAGAATGTCAACGCAATATACATGTGGTATGTAAAAAAAATTAACAGATACTCTTCCTGTTTTCAGTTGCTGTTTTTTTTTTTTTTTTTTTTTTTCCCTTCGTTTATTTCACTTCTTCTCTCTTTTTGATTCAATAAGGATATTATTATCCAAAAGCCCATCAAGGCATAACAGGGACAAAAGCCTAGACCTGTGCAGAAAAAAGATAGCCTAACGTATATGAGTGAGCAGGATTTCAGACGCAACTCTCTACGTAATTCTGCAGAAGAGAGCAATAAAAAGAAAAGAAAAGAAAATGGGATCAGAGTCCAGGCAATAAACCAAAAAAATCTTAATCCATCTTTTTCATTCCTACAAGATAGAATAGGAAGGAACTTGAAAAGGGGATAAAATTGGTTGCCAAACTACCAACTCCGCTGAGTCCCTGGCCTTACTATTATTGTTTCTACGTCAAACAGCGTACGACGCTCTGATAGTTAACTAGTTAGTCGGGACAATGCGTGGACAATACTGTACGTCAGCAGTTTCCGACAAGGTAAATGGCGTACCTAGTGGCCCAGGATCGTGTTGTTGGTAGGATATTCCAGCATGATTCTTCAGGAATCATTTAACTTTTTCTTTCCCAATGTGGCGTAGTATTCCTTTATTTATTCTCCTTATTTCCTTTTATTGGGATCCAGAATGTAAAAGGAGATGCATAGCTGTTCAGCTAACTAGTATCATTGGGTGGAGAAATAGGCGACGGGGTAGAGACTTCTAGTATGGTTATTATAAACGCAACTCGGTGCGTTCACGGGTCGACAGAAGGGCCCGCCTAAGAGGCCTGGGGTTGGATGCCCTTCGGTTCATGCAGAGGGAGAGAGCTTAGCATGGAGGGGCAAGAAGCGAAAAGGAGCTTGTTGCTGGTGCTGGGCTTTGCTGGGGCAGGTTAGGGCTCCAAGGAAAGAAAGCAAAGCGTGTTTAGGTTTCACCAATAAACTTTGGGAGGTTCGCTCGATCCTCGATCTGCACCAGCCCAGCCGGAATGAATTATCCATGATAAATTGACGGGCGGAAGAACCCTGATACCCGGAGCACTCCTCGCACGAGAGCGTTGTAACCTGACAGCAGGAAATAATGGAAGAATGGTGCAGCCGCCCATCGCCAACCCGACCAGCGCCGCCGCTAAGGACCGATTACCGCAGCCGCCTTTCCCTTTTCTGTCAGGCGCTGCTTTATTTTGTGTCGCCTTTTTTTTCTTACCCTCACGTTCAGGTCTCACTCACTACTCACTCTCCTTCTCAACCTCTCCGCTCCTCGCTCCTCTCTCCTCTTCTTCTCCTCTCACTCGTTCTATCATCATCATCCTCCCCAGCGTGCTCAACCACTCTCGAGTCATCTGCCTTCCCTTCGCCTCTCCTTCTTCCTCTCCTCCCTTTCTCGCACTCTCTCCTTTTTCCCCCTCCCTTCCTCGTTACGGCAAGGGGTTAATTTCTGCCTATCCGCTCTTGGCTCCACTTCCCCCATCATCGACTCAAGGGAACACCTATTCTACATCGTCGTGTCACACTCATTTTGTATGTACTGTGAGTCTATGGCCCGGGGTGCCATTTTCCTTGGCTGTTCCTTTTTTTATTCAAGCTGCCTTCTCTCTTTACCACACCACTCACCTCCATCACTATCCAATGCAAGCGGCATTTCCTTTTTTCACGCAAATCTACCTGGCTACCCCAAAGACGTGGAAGTTTTTGAGTGAAGTGAAGTGCCCTGGAAGACCCGATGCAATAATCAAATACACATCTACTATCCTTCCTCTCGCACCCCTCGACCACCTACATCGTTCAGTCTACTCAAATTCTACCTTATCCCATAATGCCCTCCATCTATCGTTTGTTGTGTTTTGTAATCTTATATCACTATTTGTATCTTAATACTTACCACCTGCTTTGTTATTTCTTAGGTCTGAGAAAGAGGTGACGATACCTCCCGAGCGGACGTACATTCCTTTTCCTCGACGTATCCCGCTTTACCGGCCCATCCTATAAGCCTTCGCAAGTCGTTGGCCCTTGTATATTGAGAGCCATTCTGGATCGATAATATGGCGTATTATGAACCCCAAAGTTGGCAGGCTCCCCTGCGCCAAACATCCTGGGAGCAACCGGCTCCTCCATCGCGGTCAGGTTAGTGCTCATCCACGCTGGTGTTAGGATGGATAGGATGGAAGATGACCTTCTAACACAATTAATTCCTGATTATAGGCACCAGCTCTACCTCTCAGCGTGACGATGCAGCTGCTTTCTCGTCGCAGTTTGACGGTATGGAAATTTTTTTTTTTTTTTCTTCCACGTAGCTGGGACAACATTACATAAGCTTGGCAAAACCCTTTGCCTTCTTTTTGCAACAACCACATACTGATAGGCAAGAAGAGGTGGATCGCGCCATCGACAACCTTGTGAAGAGCGGGAAATTGTTTAATGCTATTCCTCGTCGGGACTCTGTACCTCTGATGATGAGCCGTCCCTACCCGGATTATGGTATGTTTCATCGGCACACCCCGGAAAAGAAAGACCCTCTCCTTTTGGTTCTCGTATCCTAAAATATGCTTCAAAGATCCTCGCATGATGAATGTAATGCCCCAACGCCATAGCGCCATCGGAGACTACGAATCACTCCGGCCTCACTCAGCATCCAACGTACAAGGTTTCTATGCTGCCCAACGTTATCAGGGGCGTCCAAACGAAGTAGAGCAGATGATGCAGGCGAAACGACGTATGGCAGCACAGCGTGAGGGAGAACTCCGCAAATATCACCATCAGCAGCAGATCCATCGTACGTGACGAGCGTTGCTATTGTTTTTTCTTTTTATTCCTTGATTTCATTGTTTTGTCGTATCCTGATTCCCTTTTTCTTCGGACCAAATATGTGTTATCATTACAATGTTGCATTCTATACAATTCCCTCTGCTTCTTTCTTCTATCCGCCCAAATTTTATATGTTCAAAATGTTTGTACTTGTATCTTAACGTGATTTCCATTTGGAAAAAGGCCTTTCCTCCGAAATGTCTGGAAACAAATCCGATCGTTCCATGAGTCCCGCTGCGATGAGCGAAGAAAAGTCGACGCGAATGGATTGCACGCCAACGCCGTGCTTTGTATGGCAATGGTAGTCCTGATTTCTATCCTAATGGTGGCATGGGAGAGGAGCATCACAACTCTCGCCAGGAAAACCAAACCTCTGGCAGCGCCACAACCGCTGCAGCCGGCGTACGAGGCCCTTCCCCTCGTGGTGTAGATCCTTTTGGCCTTGGCCAAACCCAGGGGCAAGGTAACTCCGAAAATGTTCCCCAATCTACGCAGGGAGCAAACGCCAGACCATCTCCTGCGGTTCCTCAATCCCTGTCACCAACCAACAGCAATGCATCCCCTAGCTCCAGACCGACGTCATATGGTATTTTTGACACCAACCCCGGCCAGCAGCAGCAGCCGCATGCGTCCGCCTCCCCTGGCGACGAGTCCGTCTCTTCTCGCCAGCTTGGTTCGAAACAAAATGTCCCATCTGTTGGGCCCATCGGCTCTCGCCCTATCGTGCAGCAATCTGCGAGCAGCCATGCAGTTAATGCAGCTTTGAACAAGCGCTCAACTACTCCACTTCCCTCTCCCTTGGGCTATGGCTTCTCTCCAAATGAGGCAGCGAACAACAATACAAACACGAGCGGCAATGGGAACGGGAACGGAAGTGGGAACGAGCGGTCTACTTCTTCTGCATCCAACCCTTCAACCTCAACAATTGCCCCGGCCTCTGGCTCGGGAGTGAATGAATCATCTGGCCATGTCGGTCTGGGCTGGGGCAATGGAAGCGGCGTTTGGCGATCGAAGAATTCGTTGGGTGTCCAGGCGTCTGTCTGGGGCTAGATAAAAGTGGAAAACTAGGCATTTATCAAGGGGGAAAAAGTACACCCTCCTCCCAAAAAAAAGAAAAAAGAAAGAAAGAAAAAAAGAAAAAAAGGGAAGGGGGAAAAAGGAAAGGAAAGACTAGAAAATCACGTCGTCCACGACATTTCCTTTTTTTTTTTTTTTTTTTTTTTTTTTTGCGCTTTGCAGGCCCAGCGGCGTTTCAACTTCATTTGCTCCTCTTGTTTTGTTTTAATTCTGTTTCTACTTTTGTTTCTGGGGTGGGTTGGCGCGCGATTCGGGAATGAAACAGTGGATTGTTGCTTGTATTTCCCGGGGGGTTTTTGCCGGCGTTGGGGATACGCTTGGGACAAAATCGTTTTTCCCTGTCCCCTCATGTCGTATTTCTTTCCCCCCCCCCCGGAGTTACGGGTTTTGTGGCAGGGGCGAAAGAAAAAAAGGAGGAAAATCATGGATGGCGATAACTTTTCCTTTTGTGGTAGTTTTCCTTGGCTGAGTTGATTTTCGATTTCTTATGTCTTGGGTTGAATCTTGGCTTGGAAAGCTTCTTTTCTGGGGACATGTTCTTATCTCTCTTTTTTTTTTTTTTTTTGTTTTCTACTTTTCCCTTTTTCCTTCAAAAGAACGGGGGCATGTGAAGGGTTCAGTTAGGTTTCTGATTTTCGGGTGGTATGTGCATGTCTTGCGATTTGATTTGATCTTGCACCTGTGCCCCATTTTTATTGTTGATTTTGTTCGATTTTTGGACGGATGGACAGGAATGGGCGGAGCATCGAGTTTTTTTTTTTTTTTTTTTTTTTTTTTTTTTCCTATTTCCGACTATATTTTGGATTTTCATTTTTGTGCTGGAATTTTGGATTGGATTGGAATTATTCTTTTTCTGCTTTTTTTTATCCTATGTTTTCTTTTGATTTTGATTTTGTCCTCTGTATCTACTTTTGTAATCCCTATTCCTAGTTTTTTTCATCCAAAAGGCCTATTTCATGTTGGTTTCCCCCTTACCAGTCCCTTTTATCCGTTGACCCTACTCATTCCATCCTTTGTTCGTGCGA